AAAAATTCTATATTTTATTAAATTATAATTCTTCATGATGAAATAGTTAACAGTAAACTGGACTAACAATCTGTGTTATTAATAATAGCTGACAGTCATATGGTACTTTATGGGTTGGTAGCAGAGCACTTAATGTATGTTATCTCATTTTATACTTTCAACAATACCATGAGTAAGTATTACAAGTACTCTTAACCCCATTTTTCAGATGAAGTCCAGAAAGACTTAATGGCAGTTATATTACTTTTGCTAGTCTTATTTTAGAGAGCCTTATTTGAAGAAGAATAAACTTTTAGGCTTTAATTCACTATAAATATATTTCAAATCCTCCAAATAGTGGTATCATATGAATGTAATTCATTTACCACATGCTTAGGTATGTGGAAAGGTGTGTAGTACCGAATCCAAACCTATAATTAAGTCCTAAGACACAACAGTGTGCATTCTCCTGGACTATGCATACACTTGGTAGGTTATTAGGAAAAGACAACTGCCCTAGCAATTCAGGAAGTGGGCCTATCTCAGCCTTACATAAACCCTAAAGTCTCTCACTGCAATTCCGAAGATCTCATTTTTATTGCTGTGTTTATTTGGGACCTCAGCTACAGGCTTATGAATTTAAGTCACTTTGAAATTTCATAGCACAAACCAAAGCAATTCTTGAAGTGGGCCAGCTTTCAAGACAAAACAAAATGGTATTCAGCTCAAAACCAAACAAAATTAAAACTCCGCACACTGCGCTTCGGAGGCAGCCAAACTAGTTTTGGCAGATTACCAAGGAAAAAAGTTACAAAGAAGAGCCCTGAAACAAAGTGGTATGTTATAACATCAGAGATTTATAATCCAGGATGTAGCTAACAGATCAGTTGATTCTTTATTGATACATTTAGCAAGAACTCTAAGTCATGTGCAAGTTTGAAAAATAACACCAACATCCCAACTAAATAGCCGTGTGACAAATTTGCCACAGATTTCAGATAATATTTGATACAATGTAATTTCAATACAGCAAAAGAACTAACATAGCAACTTCAAGTCTGTTATGATGAAACTTTATCTGTAGCATTTTCTAAGCTATTGGGTTCAAGGTTGTTGTTTATCCTTTGTTTCAAAGAAGACCAACGTTATCACAGGGTGATGATGTCTTGACTTGTGTGAGAATTGTATTTAAGTGAGATAGAACTGCACAAAGTCATCTTTGAGTTCAGGGTTAACAGTCGTTCGGATTGTACCAGTGTTCCAAGGCTCTTCTTCTGCCCCTACCTCACTTATAAAATGGTGATGATGGTACTTTCCTTACCAGCTGAGCCAGCTGGTGGCTCAGTGGATAGAGCACTAAGCCTAGAATTAGGAAGACCTGAATTCAAACGTGGCCTGAAACTTTGTAGTTGTGTGATCCTGGGCAAATCATTTAACTTCTGTTTGTCTTAGTTTCTTCAAGTATATGGAGATAATAATAGCACTTACCTCACAGGGTCATTATGAGATTCAAATGAGATAACATTTGTAAAGTACTTAGCACAATGCCTGGCACATAGTAGACACTGCTTATCCCTCCTCCCTCTCCTTGACCTGCTTCACAAGGTTATGAGGAAGAGTTGATTAACCTTAAAGCTCCAGATGCATATGAGTTACTGCTCTTGTCACCCTTATGTTATTATTGCCAATTACAGCTACCATATAACTCTTACACATCCACCACCTCTAAGCACCACATTGGAACATCTCCTCCTTGTTCTTATCTCATGACACACTTAGTTACAACCCATTTCTCTAAATCAAGGCAAATGACCAAACTCAGACCCTTGGTACAAGACTGTCCAAGGCAGTAAAGTATTTTGGTGGGCTGTAAGTTCTGAGTTTTGCCTCTCCACTTTGAAAAAGTTATTCTCCATTTGTTAAATAGAGATGATCTATTGATGTAACTCACAGTATTCTTTGTGAAGATTATCTGTGATTTTATATCATTTTACTATCCACAAATGAAAAGGGAAGGGAGCTCCTTGGGCAGAAAAAAAGAAGAGATTGGTTCTCTTCTTTCAGAAAATCTAGATAAAGTGTCAGGTACAGAGGTCATGTAGAAGAGAGGTTTTTTTTACATGTGGAAATTTCATGAATGTATCTTGGGAATGCTTTTATTTTTACAATTTCATTTTTCGTGTTCCATCGTTATAGGGAATAGGCTTACGTAGTTATACTTGGAGAGGGTTTCTGCTATTAATAAATCAGAATGTGGGTGTTTCCAGCTTTTGTGTTTAGAAAAAGAATAATTTTTAGTGGGAGAATTCTCGAATAGAGTATTTTATTTTTATATGAAATACATATTCTTAATAAGTAAATCCTTTTTTTCAGCAAAGATGAATATATTTAATGCTCAAAGTTTGAATTTCTTTTTTAAAATAAATTTATTGAAACCTATTTTGAAATATACTACAAGCACTGAAATACAGAAACAAAAACAAAAGAAAGGAATAAATAATGAACAATATAACCAAAAAGAAAATTATTGTATGTGATCCTACATGTTTTATGGCACAGTAATATTCTATTACATACCATAATTATTTCCAACCATTCCATAAGCATTGAAAACTTGATTTCGGCTTTTTTTATTTCAATTAATGTTGCTGATTTTTTTAATCATCTTATTGATTGATAGATTCGTTGCTTATTGATAGATCCATCAGGTCATTGATAGAGTACTAGTAGGGAGACTTTTAAGTCAAAGGTTATGCTTATTTTTGGGATCCTTTTTCAGCCCTATATTTATTTCCAAAAAGTTTAAAGCTATTTTTTAGTTCCACCAGTGATATAATGCTTGCCTGTTTTTAAAAAACATAACCACATCATCTTTGAATTATCTCTGTTAATTTGATGGGTGTCAGGTAGAATCTCAGAGTTATTTTTATTTTGTTCCACCTCTTTTATGCTTCTAGGATCAATACAGGTATCATTCTAGTTCTGCAGAATATTGACCATTCTTGCTTTCTTATTGTGTTTAACTGTTATATGATTCTTGACCATCCAAGACTTCATGTTTGTGTATCATTGTGTAGATACCAGTAGAGCATGTGGACTGCCCATCCATAATCTTTCCTGTCATTCTGGAATTGTCTTTTAGATGATATTATCATCCTCTTTCAAGGAATATTGTTAATTTTTTACTCTGAGGATTATTGCTAAGAATTATGTTCTCATTATCTAGGAATTATTTTGTGTCCTATTCTAGGAATCACATTTTAGTAAACATAAATTAAGAGATTATCTAGAAGAAGTTAACTAGAAATATGAAGGGCCTTGAACTCATACTAGTTCATTGAAGGAATTGGGAATGTTTAATCTAGAGAAGAGCTTTGGGGAATCATGATAACTGTCTTCAAGTTTTTAAAAGGCTATTCTGCACTCTTTATTTTTAAGGAGACTATGTACCAAGACTAAGATTAGACTTTTTTGGCCGGGCTTTAGAGGACAGCACTAGGAACAGTGTTTGAAAACTGAAGAGGCCCAAATTTGGGCTTAGTTTCTGGAAAAAACCTCCTAGCATAGCTATATTACTGGAAGAATAACAGTGTTTTACAAACTCTAAATTTCTTGTTATTTAAGTCATTGCTGGTAACTGATCTTTCCAAGCTGGCCATCAGGAGATAAACCAATTCTATGAATGCCTACCCATCTTTCCCCAAATTGCTGATGCTGTCTTGACCTGGCTTTACTTCCTAATCAAGAAATAGTAATACTTCTCCTATATAGTTTATATGTATATAGACTTTATAGTTTACAAGGCACTTTCTTCACAACTACCCTTTGAGATAGGTGGCATGAGTATCATTATTTCCATGTAACAGATGAGGAAACTAAGGATCAGAAAAGTAAAGTGTTTGGCATAGTCACATGGCTAATAGGTGGCAGAGCCAGGACTACCAACCCAAACATATGTCATATGATTCAAGTCCAGTGATTTTCCCATGGCACCATGTTACCTCCCCAATAGTTTTCTATACATGGTGAAACCTAATTAGGTTTCAGTTCCTTTAGCCTATAATTAGGAAGCTGAGGATAATGAGAACATAATTCTTAGCAATAATCCTCAGAGTAAAAAATTAACAATATTCCTTGAAAGAGGATGATAATATCATCTAAAAGACAATTCCAGAATGACAGGAAAGATTATGGATGGGCAGTCCACATGCTCTACTGGTATCTACACAATGATACACAAACATGAAGTCTTGGATGGTCAAGAATCACATAACAGTTGAACACGATAAGAAAGCAAGAATGGTCAATATTCTGCAGAACTAGAATGATACCTGTATTGATCCTAGAAGCATAAAAGAGGTGGAACAAAATAAATTAGAGGAGAATAAAGCAGCCTTTGCTCTCTTACTACTGACAAAGAAGAGTTAGTTCTGTACCATATCTCAGGACATTAGAATTTGTCCCTTCTGAAAAAATTTCAATCCCAGATCACCACTTTTTATGTTTGTAGTAACTCTGCTGTTTCACTTACTTTCTCTTAAGTTGTGCTGTTTTTATAATTTAATTGTGGCAAAAGCAGAGGAAGTGTTAGAAGAATTGATCCACATGAGAAATGACTCATTATTAAATATTGAAAGTATGTTAAGCTAAATATTTTATCATTTTTATAAACCCATGTTAAAATAAGGAATGTAGATACTTCATCTAGTGTATATAAATAAACACTCATGAAATAAAATTTTTCAGAGTCATGTTGAACTCACTTAGTCAAAAAAATTTAACAATGAATATTTAGGAATAAAGAACTATCTGTAAAACACCAAATTCTGTATTTACGTGATATAAAAAAATCCCTTAGAACATAAAATGTTAAACACATTAATTATAGTGATTGACTTTTCCCTCCAGGCTACAATTTAGAATGGCAGCATTTGTTTGAGGTTTTTATTTAAAGGCTTCCATTTTCTTATTAGTACTTCATAATCTCAAACATAGTGCTGTTTTTCTTCTTTCCATTGCAGGCCTGGCAACTGAGATTCAGTCACCTTGTAGGTTATGGTGCCAAGTACTACTCCTACCTCATGTCTAGGGCAGTAGCCTCCATGGTTTGGAAAGAATGTTTTATGCAGGACCCATTTAGCAGGTAAGAAAAAATGCATCACTATACATGTTTAACCTATATCAAACTTCTTGCCTTCTCAGTGAGGAGGAGTGAGGAGGGAGGGAGGGAGGGAGAGAATTTGGATCTCAAAAGTTTTAAAAACGAATGTTGAAAGTTATTTTTACATGTAACTGGGGGAAAATAAAAAATAAAATACTAAAATAAATTTTAAAAAAAAGAAAAAATGCATCGTGTCAATATCCTAAATTATAGAAGACCCCAGTTGTCTGGATGTCTCACTTTGGACAACCTTAGTCATAAAGAATTAAGTTCCAAACTTGGGAGTGAGTCTTCTTACTGACAAGTAACTATTGCAAGTCCCATGCAGTTTATGGCATTTAAGAGACAGAATGACTCATGGGACCTTCTCACTCAGATCATTGTTGCATAAAATCTGGTAGCTGATGAGAAGCATTAGTGCACACTGGCAGCAGAGCAAAGCTACATTTAACAGCACGTGGAAGAGGCCAAAGAACAACAACAAAAAAAGGCAGAACAATGCTCTATAAAAGCATATAAAATGGCTCTCTGGGCTATTCAGTACATGTAACAGCAACAGCTTTCATACTCTCCAGTACTGTATAGTATGGTAGTTCATCATAATAATAACTCAGAGGCATCTATTGAAGGTTAAATTACATCCAGTATACTTTGTTTAGAATTCCCGTCACAGTAAATTCTCAAGTCAGGAGTTTTGCTCTTCAAAATATAAACTTCATTTCTATGGAAAATTAACTTACCTCATTCTCTGGTAATTATAGATAAATGAGGAATTCCTACTTAATTTAGGAAATTACATTTCAGTGACTAGTGCTAACCAAAAGGAGGCTCAGCACAACTCCTTTCAACTTTTCTTCATGAAGTTCTACACTGCCCTCCCTCTGTATCTTTTCTGCAATTCGGTGCTAGTTTGAAGATAGTTAACCCTCAGAGCATTGAACTTGGGGTGAAGAGGCCTGGTCATGAATCCCATCTCTGACCTTTAGTAACTGGTTGAACTTGAGCAAGTCACTTAATAGTCTTACTTTCCTTAACTGTAAAATGGGGACAGTAATATCAGCTAGCATTTATATAGCACTTTAACATTTGCAGAGCACTTTACAAATATCGTGTCAACCCGCACAAGAACTGGGGAGGTAGGTGCTATTATTATCCTTCATTTTGTACTGTGCTGAGTACTTTACAAATATTTGATCATCATAACATCAATCATTTGATCCTCATAACAACCCTGTGAGGTAAGTGCTGCTGATATCCTCATATTATAGTTGAGGAAACTGAGGCAGACAGAGGTTAAATGACTTGCCTAGGGTCACATAGCTACTAAGTGTCTGATAATGGATTTGAATTCAGGTCTTCCTGACTCCAAGCCCAAATACTCTTATCTGCTGGACCACGTAGCTACTTATCTTAAGGATAATATCTTTACCTATTGCCGTACTACATGATGCTGCTCTTCACATAACTGCATAGTTTTATTTGTCACTTTAGCACATTGCTATTTTAGGTTCTTAGGGAGAGAGCTGTGGTACCATTAAGCTTAGCCTTGGGATTTACCAGGTAGCTAAGGAGATGGGTACCAGTTACAGAGGTAGACAGGAACCTGGAGTTGGGAAATGGAGTCCAGTTCTGGTTTTCAGAAAATGATGAAAAAATACCAGGACATTAGGAAAAAGCTTTTCCTTTGATGGTGAGAGTTGACCACCAGGTGATGAATTTTTTTTTTGTAACCAAAGCTTGTAATGTGCCCAGTTAGAGGTGATCTTCTTTTGTCACACTGATGAAGTCATAGATCCCTAGAAATACTGAAACATACAATGGGTTGCCAAAAGAGAAAGGGAAAACAGTAACAAAAGATGGGAAGATTTGTTTAAAAAACCTCATTGCCCAAGACTGGTGGTCCCACTTTTAAGTTCCCCTCTAAACAGTCTTAAGGTTGCACCTGAAGAGAAATTGCCCACAACTGCAGCATACTACAGTTATGACCTAGTACAATAACCATTGCTTGCGTTCTTAAAATTCCTGGTTTCTTTGAAAGCTCAATTCAAATACTAACTCCTCCATAAGGCCTTTGCAGATTCAGCTACTAATCCATCCCCTCTACTCCAACCAATTGCTTTGTATTTATTTTGTGTATGTTTTGCATAAATCTACATGTATACATGTTGTCTACCCCTTTAGAATGTAAGCTTCTGTAGGGAGGGAATAATTTGATTTTTGTCCTGTATCCTTACAGCCTAGCATAGTATCTGGCACAGAATAGCTGTTCAATAAGTGCTTTTGGTTGATTGATTTAAAATGTTTACCTGCCTGTTAAGTATTCCTTCCCAGAGGAATTTTCTGATCATCTACAATAACCTATTTACATGACTTCCTTAAGTGGGGGGAAGGAGGAGGAGAAGGTAGAGGAGGAAATTTAGATGGTGCTTTGCAATTTTCAAAACATTTTTTGTTTTGATTATCTCTCTTAATTCTCACTACTTATCAGGTAGGCAAAGGAGGCCAAGGGTATGATCCCGTTATCCTCATTTACAGATTAGAAAACTAAGGCTCAGAGAAGTGTCTGGGATAATAATGGCAGACCTGGGAATCAAATGGAAGTCTTCTGATTCGTAACCTAGGAATTTTTGTTCCCTTATACCACATTTTTCTCAGAGAATTCACTACAACTTCAGATTGTGTTTTCTTCCCCTTGCTATGACCCTTTATTCACGTTAATTGACCAAAACTTTTTTAATGCATTACATGAACCTGATTTAACATAATGTTAAAATGTGTTCATGGTTTGGCACCAGCATGTTTATTTTCTATATACTCCTTTGCAGACTGCAACCAGATGTTTTGCTTGTCTCATTTTGTTATTTTCAAAGCATTTAAAGCCGTAATTTGACTTATAAAAGATAAGCTTTTGGAGATGCAACTCAAAACAGCTGGGAGATAACCTTTTTCTGTAAAATAGGTAGAAAAAAATTATCTAATCTAAAGAAAGAGATTACTAAAACATTGTTGACTCGTCTTCCATTGCATATGTGCTGTTCCTTTGCTGATGATTCCTCTGTTTCTCTCTGATATGATGCTTACATACATGGTTTTTAGCAGTGTCAAAGTAACTGCCTTTGTAACATACCTTTGTGTGTGTGTGTGTGTGTGTATACATATATATATATATATGTATATATATATATATGTGTGTGTGTATATATATATATATGTATATATATATACACACACATGAGAATGTGAATGTGTGCTCTCATCAAAAACACAACATGCTGGCACATTTCAGGTTTGGGGTTCCAAGAGTCTTTATTGCCTCTGTTGTTCCCAAGGGCCACAAGCTAGGTAAGTGGAAAACTGCATCCAGCAAAGAGCCAGAAGATGGACTTGCGAGTGATTGACCAGGGAAGGCAAATGGGAGGTCAAACCCAACAGTCCTAGGTGCATCAAGCAGTATTTCCTGAACTGTACTTCTGCTGCTGCAACTAACTCCAAATGCATACCTTGCCATTACCTGCTGAAATCTGCTACTTCTTTCTCTTCTTGCCTCCTTCATGCCTGAGCCTATTCTCCCTTCCTTCACGTCTTCTCACAGGCCTGGAATGTTCTTCTCCTTTACCTCAGCCTCTTAGAATCCCCTGTTCTCTTTAAGGCAGGGCTTCTTAACCACTTTTGTTTTTGGCCTCTGTGGTACCTTGGTTAAGCCTATGGATTCCTCTCAGAATTATGTTCTTAAATGTATACAATGCAAAGGACTGCAAAGAAGACTAATCATAGTGAAATACTTATTATCAAGCTATTTAAAAAACAGAACAAGTTCACCAACCCTAGGGTAAGAACCTTGCTTAAGTGCTACCTTTTTTCAAGAGTCTTTTCCTTTTTCCCTTGATTGTTAGTGTTTGCCCCCCTCCCAAAATTACTTTGCATTTATCCCGTACATATTTGGTATACGTTTACCTTTGTATATATCGTTTTCTACAGTAAAATGTAAGCCCCTTGAGAGTAAGAACTGTTTCATTTTTGTATTTATGTTGCCAGGGTCTAGAACAATTCCTGGCATACAGTAAGCTCTTAAGAGATGATTGTTGAATTGACAAAAAGTTGCCAGAATATGTATCCTGTAACAATCCTGCCACATTCTGTCCTTGCTGTGTAACTTGGGTAGAACTTTATGACCAGGGGCCTTGCTTTACAAACTGCCTAGCCTATAAGGCTAGATAAATGGTAAAATATTACAATGAAAGCATTGGTTTTAAAACAAAGTTGTTTACTTGTTACTGTCAGCTGGGTTAGAAAAAATGCCAATTTGACAAACACTTTTGAACAAATAGTTAGGATTATGAGGTGTAGAGAAAGAAGGAGAGAGAGACCATTCTGGTCCAATCCCCTCATTTTGTACTTGAGGAAACAGACCCAGAGAAGGTTCATTGACTTACCAAAGTGAATCAAGCAGTCCAGTTTTGTTTTTTCAACTCTATCATTCATAGTGTTCCCTCCCCCCTGCAAAACATGGTGATTATTGGCTCCCCTATGGATCACATTTTCATTAACTGGAAGAATTTCTATCTGTAAGAATTTCATGAATTCAGATTTATTCTTTTTTAAAGGCTATATTGTATTACATGGAAGTTTATATGACATTGTATTCTTCCTTTTGATGGTGCGTCCTCCATTACAGTCGTAGTGTGGAGGGGAACTGTTCTCAAAGGCAAGCAGAGCAAAAGTTCCTGCAGATACCACCAAGCTAGAAAGGGTTTTGAGTACCTACCTAGCAATTGTATTTCTGTTGGCCAAGACCATTGTGGTCAGGCTCAGGGGAGCTCATTACAAGAAGGTTACCTACCAGCTGGTGAATTTTTTGGCCATAATAGGTCACAAAAGAACCTAAGACATGGAATGGTTATGATCTACATTGATAGAGTAATTAAAAGTCTGTCATCGATTGAATGTTATTCATAAAAGATATTGCATAGTGGACAAAATAATTTTTAATGTGTAGTTCATCTGGATTTATTTAGATATAATTGAAAATCTGAATTGGATTTTTAGAAACAGGAAAAGAATGAAGTCAGGAATTGTCTTAAGGTGTTTCAAAGTATATATTACTAATATATCATTGTCAATTCAGTTGGGAAACTTGGGACAGCTGTGACTGGAAGCTGAACAGGTTGCAAATGCAGGTGGCTGTAACCTTATCTGTCTGTTCCTCCAGGGCTATGGGGGAGCGCTATCGCAGGGAGATGCTGGCACACGGTGGTGGCAAAGAGCCCATGCTCATGGTTCAAGGTAAAATAAAATTAAGATTGTTTTATTTTCTTGATCTTTCCTTTTTAAAATAGTTTATATGTTTTGGCAAGCCATCAGCACTTGTGATATATAGGACTAAAAACTTTTAACTTATTCTTAGGTCAAATCTTTCACTTAATCAGGGTTTCAGAGCTATTTGACATCAATAGAGCTCATACACATTTGGAATTGTGGAAGAGCTTTAACGTACAAAAAGGGAGAACAATATCATTAGTCAGGAGTTGTGTTCTATTACTTGTATTAGGTTTTATCTAAAGGCAGAAAGCATGATAATATAATGCTTTTTTAAAATTAGAAAAAGTTTATATGGAGTACCTCATTGAGAGTGATTTTATAAATATGTTTGTAACCATCCTTGTACCACCATCATGAATATGTTTTCTTCACCCATTTTTTTTCTAAAAGTACTGATTTTGTTGAGCGCTTTATTCTTTATATACAGACGTCAGACTATATAAAAACCTACTTAAACTTTTTTCTCCCTTAGATTGAAAGAGGCATGTTAAACTTATAATGTGGATAACTGTTAGTAGTATTCATTTAGATGTTAGAAAAACTCAAGTTTTTTCTCAATTTTACTAGCATTTTAGTGGGAAACTGTATTGGATTTTTTGCAAAATTATGCGTGTTTTAAAGATATGCATGCTTAAGACTCAAATATTCAAGTGGATCTGTAATCTAATCAACTTTGGTGCAGCCCATCTATGCCTGCCCCTGTGTAACACTTTTCTGTATCCTCTCAGAAATTTGCTTCTGGGGGCCCATGCAATATGTTGGACCTTCCTGGCTTCCTACTGATGTTACAAGGATATGAGTAGAGCACTTGCCATCCCTTGGGCTATTCATTGCCATCTTTTTCCCTCACAATACAGGACCAGCATATTTTCTCTTCCCATCATACATTTCCCTTATGACACCTTTTATTCCTGTTCTTCAAAGTTCCCCATGGATAATATGGTACAGCGTGCTCATACTCACCATATCCCTTTGCCCTCTCTGTGATATCCATTTTTCGTTCTTTGGAAACAGTTGTGTCCCATGTCTTGCTATCATACAGCAAAATATACAATTCTAAAAATGGTGATTAGGAAGCCAGTGGTTCACACGTACTTGTTAAACAAAAAGCTCCTTGTTTGCAATATATTTTTATAGCAGAAGCTCTAATATTGTATGTTTGTCAAAAATCTCTCAACACTAAATTATACCATTTCCCCATTGGAAATTTAGAACATAATTAAAACTTCTTATGGCATACTATAATGCCTGCTTTGACTTTAAATTTACTATTTTTACAATAATACATTGAGAACTAGAGCTTCAGTCATAAAAGTCTTATAAAACCCATTAAAATATGTTGCCTAAAATTAGCCATTATTGCCCTAATGTATAGTTATTGCTCTGAATGTCTTATTTGTCAATTATAGAATATAGAAATAGCATAGTATAGAATATAGAAATAGCAATAAAGTCAAAGGTACATTCTAACTTCATCTATGTCTTTTCTAATTTGAATACCATTCTAAAAACCTCTTTATACCTATACTGTCTTTTCTTCCATTACCGTTCAGTTTTAGACTGTGAAATGGAGTTTTGTTAAAATGTAGTGGTTCTTGCAACAGTTTTTCCCTTCTGTCTCCCTGTCTCCTCTCTCTCGGTGATCCCTTCCCCAAGGCACTAATTATAACGTATATTTAAAGTTCTGTGCCTTTGAATCCCTCTAAGTTTTTTTTTTGTTTGTTTGTTTAAGTTCACTGGCTCTTATTCTTCACCTGTTGAAATCATTTCAACGCAGCTCTGAAAGTCAGTAGGTAAATTCTCAGTTTGTTCTGTTGAACTTGTGGCATTTCTTGAGCAGCATCAGAAGTAGGTTTAACTTATTCTACAAGCCATATAAGAAACAGAGTAACAGACTGAGTTATGATACCTCTGCTGTAATCTTAACTCTGATGCTCATTTATGTTTCTGTTTGGGTAAATAACATAAGCTCTCTGTGAATTCAGTATTTCCTCTTATAAAACATTTTAAAATTTTAGTATGAATGGAATAATTTTAAAAATAACTATCATTATCATTTCAAGCAAAATATAACTTTTTGCATTTTTCTACCTTTTGCTTTTTTTGTTTTTTCGAGGCAATTAGGGTTAAGTGACTTGCCCAGGGTCACACAGATAGTAAGTGTCAAGTGTCTGGTCTGAGACCGGATTTGAACTCAGGTCCTCCTGACTCCAGGGCAGGTGCTCTATCCACTGCACCACCTCACTGCCCCCCCCCCTTTTTTTCCCACCTTTTGGAGAAGCTTTTTCTGCTACTTGTAATAAGTAAAAATTTTTATTTGGCAACTATTATTACTCTACACCAGACCAGATTGCATTATATGCATATTACATGTATTTTGTACAATTTGTAGTATTTTTGATGATGGTTAGATACCTTGTAACAATTAGATTTGGTTATGCTTTAGCACATGTATTTGTGGTTTTTCCAGAATATTTCAGACATTTTTAGCATGTTATAGTGGAATTCTTTCTCTATTGCTGTGTGATATTAGACATGTCACTTTAAACTCTCCCTGTAACATGAATTTAGTATTGATAATTAGAATTTTCATGAGGAATGAATTAATGACATAAACTACTACATTTACATTTCTGAGGTCCTTGATAGTTTACCAAGCACTTTGCTCACCACAGCTTTATTAAATGAGTAGTAAACGATTATTTTTATCTCCATTTTTATAAGAGGTAAACAGATCAAAGTTGTTTAACTAATAAATGGCAGAGTTCAGACTTGAACACTGGACTTCTGATTCCAAGTACTTGTTCTTTCTTGTATATCATGCAATCTTGATGCTTATCAGATATGTACCAAATAGCAGTAGCATCAGTTTTTTCCCTTATTACTACCTCCCTTTTCCCATCCCCAGAAATAGATCTACCTGCCCCTTTCATTGTGACTGCCTGCTCCATAGTGAACAGATTTGCTTATCATCTTAAACCTTTTCCTTTCCCACCCTCTCCATTTTCTGGTTCTCACTGAGATGTGATTTCTTTCTGATTGATCACATGGCCAACCTTCTAGTATTAGTTGCATTTTCACTTATAGCCAGCAACTTACTGGTCATGGTGGGAGAGTCAGAATACTCTGCTCCCCCACAGACCCTTCCAGACTGCCTTGCTACAGCTAACCCTAAGTAACCTCACCTTTCTTGAAGTTCATTCAAACCTAATCACGATACTGGTTGCTGTTATCTGCTGATTCCTGGGAAACTGTCCTTTCTTCCTCAGTGATTTCAGTGTTGGGCTCACAGTCTTTCTCTTGGCCCCGATTGCTGCCCTCCTACTAGGGGACTAAAACGTACATATCGATACTTCCTCAAATATCTTAACAACTCAGGGGTAGGGAACCTGTGGCCTCAAGGTCACAATTAGATCAAAGTCCAATAGATTGAACTGCACTTGAGGACCTAGAGGGCCAATTGTGATGTCGAGGCCGCAGGTTCCCCACCCCTGAACCAGTTCCTCAATCGACTCAATTCCCATGGCCTGTTCTACCTCAACTACATTTAGAGATGATCATAGGCTTGATCTTTGCCTCCTAATGTTACACTTCCATGGTTGTGAATTCCAGAATTCCTTGAATCATAATTTTTTTTTGTCATTCTATCTTTTCCTTTATTCCCACCTAACTCTTCTTTATCCTCAAAGTGACCTCCAATCCCTTCTCTTACACAGCTAGATGGTACATTAGATAGAGCACTAGGCCTAGAGTCAAGAAGATGAGTTGAGATCCAGGCTTAGAGATTACTAGCTGTGTGCCCCTTTACAAGTTACTTAACCTTTTTTTGTTGTTCAGTCATTTTCACTTGTGTCCACCTCTTTGGGACCGCATTTGGGGTTTTCTTGGCAAAGATACTGGAGTGATTTGCTCTTTCCTTCTCTAACTCGTTTTTACAGATGAGGAACTTGAGGCAGACAGGGTTGAATAACTTGCCCAGGGTTACATAATTAGTAAGTGTCTGAGGCCAGATCTGAACTCAGGAAGATGAGTCTTCCTGACTTCAGGGCTGGCACTCTATTCACTGTGCCACCTAGTTGTCCCCACTTAACCTTTATCTGCCTCAGTTTCCTCAACTGGAAAATAGAGAAATTAATAGCACCTACCTCACAGGGTTATTGTGGGAATCAAATGACATAATACTTGTCAAGTGCTTAAGATGGTGCCTGTCACACAGTAGTACTTAAATATTTATTTATACCCTTCCCTCTTTCCCAAGGCCCTCAGCCCTGCACTGGCTACAATCTCCTCACTTACCTATCTCAACCCTTTGGTGAATCTGTTTAAGTCTACACTATCCTCTATACCAGTGGTGTCAAACTCAGATTGAAACAGATCCCTGCAGCCCACTGGAGTTTAGTGGGCTGCATGAGTCTGACACCTTTGCTCTTTACTCATGTCTCTTGCCCCTTTATCCTATCACTGATCATGCATTGCCAAGTCCCAACCTTGGATTACTCCTACCATCAGCCACTTTTACTCCTATTCATGAGCTGCTGAAGAAAAATAGAGGATATTGTGAAACGTGCTGACTGGGCCTGCTATAAATTCATGTTACATCATCTCAATGAGGCCTCATGGATGCAAGGCAGTCCTTTTGCACTGCCCTAATCAGTTCAGCATCCCACTTAATACATTGGCTGTTCCAAACCTTTATATCCCTCCTGAAACTTTCAATTATGCCTCTCCTCACACCTCCTCAGTTGAGGACATTGCCTTCTACCTAACTAAAAAAATTGAGGCCGTTCACTGAGAGCTCCCTCTTCTCCCTTCCTCTTCCTTTCATGTAACTCAGATGTTTTCCCCTACTATTTTCTCCTACACTCATTTCTTCTGAAGAGGTAGGCCTTTTTCTTGCCAAGACAAGCCCCTCTCTCTCTCTCTACATATATATATATCCTTGATCCCATTCCATCTTGTCTTTT